TCGAATCCCACTTTCAACATAATTTTCACTCGAATTAATTTGAAAATAATAATCACAATAAAAAGTAGTGCAACTGGAACAAACAACAACAACATTAATATAAGAAATAGTGCAATTTTTCTCTTGTTTAACTTATCACTTTATAGGGTTTCCCCTTTTATATATCACGCCATTATATGACTAACCCTGTACCCTAATTCGGATATATTTATACATGTAAAATGTTTTGACCACATAAATATAAATACATTAAGTAAACAAGGAGAAAATAGTTCGGTAACCTTATGAGGCTTACGTACATATAGTAATTCTTAGTGTAACGTTCTCACACTAGAGTGAAACTGCTGACGATTTCCTGTGCCAGCTTATAAATGAACTACTTAAACAAACCAGTTAACTCAAACCTAAAATCTGCGTTCGATCGGGTAACAGCGAGGTCAACGTATGCTGGATAAAACCTGATTTCATCATTTCTTCGCCCTTGTTTGAAATTCTGGTGCAGTCCATGCAGGTATTTTGACAGGTAAAACGAGAAGTTGAAAAGTTTGAAACTTGCCCTCAGCGGTTAGGTGACACAGCAAAACAAAACACGACTCATCTTTTCGATACTTGGTCTAATTAAGAGAAGATTATTTATAGTATGACTTTTGTATACGAGTATTAAACTTTGATATAGGCTGCTGTCTTATAATACCACAATAACATGTAGAGTTCCAACTAACGTCTTGTAGCCTTAAGATGAAGACATGTTTTTCAGTTTTCCTTTACATTCTCACATTGTCTTTATGTGTTTTTTGTGTGTGTGTTACACAACTCCGATGTTTCAGATTCGAGAGAAAAGTGACTTTCAAGAGTAACAATGTATAATATTAAGCTGCAACTAAACAATATTAAAACGATTGAAATGCCGGCAAACTTGTTTCTCTGTAAAATTGCGTTGTTTTAGCGTTAGTAAAATAATTATCTTTTGAATAACTTTTTTCAGCAATAAAAATAGGAATCAATAGAGGTATGATAGCAACCACACGTGTGAATCACAACAGGAACTATAATGTAGGTTACTCAACCAATATCCATTTTCTCGCCTTTCAAGAAAAACAGAAAAGGCAGCGAAACGAATTATCCTGATTATAAATTAATTATATAAGTTTGCATAACCATATGCGTTCTACATGGCGCTCTCACGCTTACAATTACATAAAACTAATCTAGAAAAAGAAAGAAGCAGAGTTTTAAATACCGATAGGTTAACGACATTCTTGCCAACGACCAACTCTGTTAGACATCAAAATAAAATTGTAACCCTTTGTCTAAATGAGTAATATCGTCTGATGAGTAGCAAGAAATAGTGCAATTTTTCTCTTGTTTAACTTATCACTTTATAGGGTTTCCCCTTTTATATATCACGCCATTATATGACTAACCCTGTACCCTAATTCGGATATATTTATACATGTAAAATGTTTTGATCGCATAAATATAAATACATTAAGTAAACAAGGAGAAAATAGTAAGGTGTGAGAAGCTACCAAATAACCAGTGACTTATCAGTTCTAAGTGAATTCAAGCACAACGATATTGCAATTTTGGGATTGAATTACTACCACCAAAAAACCTAAAAAAATATGATAAAATTAGTTAGAAAATATGGTTAAGCTAAAACACGTACTAGTAATTCTTCTTGTCTTGTTGTTAATCTAGATTTTCAGTCAAAGCTGACAATGCATTATCACTGAGTAATAAAAGACAACAAATTGCAGTAAAACAGTTCTTTGAAAATATTCTTTATTTTGATACCAAACAAATAAGTCACAAGAAAAAACTGTTCAAAAATGGTGTTCGATTTCATATCAACCAGTTTGATTTTCTGTTGTACTTTTAACACCGTTTCTTGGTACTTTTAACACCGTTTCTGTTGTACTTTTAACACCCTTTCTTGGTACTTTTAACACCGTTTCTGTTGTACTTTTAACACCCTTTCTTGGTACTTTTAACACCGTTTCTGTTGTACTTTTAACACCCTTTCTTGGTACTTTTAACACCGTTTCTGTTGTACTTTTAACACCCTTTCTTGGTACTAGGCATTTTTCAAAACGGATTATTAACCAGACCAGATTAACTATTTAGTTAATATTCAACGGCTAATAGCAAAATATTA